ATTAGTTGTATCTATGTAATGATATTTTTGTTCATTAGAGTCAGGATTTATAGAATTTAAATCTCATATTATTAGATTTTTAATAATTCGGGATTGCCGATACATTTTCAAATAGAAATTAAATTTTGATAATGTGTCTATCAACTTTGCTCTACTTTTATAGTGCAGTTGTATACATTTCATTACTTCACTTGTTTGTATTTTATAAGTTGATAAAAATTTCATTTCGTTTTCCTTGCATTATTAACTTCCAAAAATACACGTCAATTTTAGTCTAGACGACTGGTTCTCGTATTTTCGAGAAAACGAGAGGTCGTTAGAGGGAGGAATTTGCTTTCCGAATGTTAAATTTAGCCGAAATATTTAAATTTTATTAAATGCAATTACTGTAATTGTTTCCTTTGCTTGGCTCTTATAATTTATTTATAAATCTTATCAAAATAATTTTACACAATATAGAATGTTGAACTTTTAATTTCTTGTATGATCAGAAATATGAACTAAATTATATGTATTACAGTCTTAAGATTAATTACCAAATTTACTTAATTCTTGATTAGAAATACCAGACAAGTTACATTAAAAATTCAGAAATTATTAACGTAGACTACTCGCTATTATTTTATAGAAATTTATTCAATTATTCCTGGTGTAAGGATCCCAATAAATTATGGTAATGTCCAGATCTTTGACATCATACAAATTTATATGTTAATCATATGAAATCATATTTTATTATTTTGATATTTCTGAGGCAAGATAAATGATTCAAATTATTTAATTTTCTTAGTATTTCTCTTAAACATCATATAATTACAACTTTGGATAAACTTAATCGATTGCATAATGAAATAGTAAGTAATTTCTTTCTTTTATATTTATAAAAAAAAAAAAATTGTTTTGATTAAAAAGTAAATTTTTCACTTTAAAAAAAAATTAAATTAAAAATTATTTGAACAGGAACATTAAAAACTTAAATACGAAATCAAGCAAAGATTGATTGAATTTCATTTAATATGTTGCAAATTACAAATATGAAAAGAAACAATGTTTTTCTTGGTTAATAAATCATAAATTTAAGCATATTCAATCTAGAGAGACTAAGTCCGACAGAAACAATGCACTTATTAATGTTTATTTTTGTCTATATAAATTCCCTGGGGAAAGAGGAGAGTCATTGACCTTGAGATATGCTAGACTGCTTATTAAGTTGCAGTCCGGTGGCAAAAGACATTTCCCGATAAATGAAGATTCTTTTTTCGTAGTTAAAATAACCTACATTTTACTTTTTAAAAAATCGGTCAAAACATATTTCTGATGATGTGATTTTCCTCTAATGCATCATATATTTAATTGGTAACTGATTTTAATAAGTTTTCTCTAGTGGAAAGATTTAATGTGTGTCAATAGATATTTAATGGGAAAAAAATAAAAAGTAGCGTGTAGATAAAGGGGGAAATTTATAAAATATGTAATACTTGAGAATTTTCCTAGATGTTATATTTGATGAATAACAAAACAAAAAATACTGTACATTTAGTTAGTTACATCCATTAATATTTAATGAAATTACTGCATTTCAAGTTACTTAGCTAAAAATATTACTTAAGATCAGAGTTAATGTCTATAATAATTCAAAATTTGAATTTCTTGAATATTTTAATGCAGATTCTAAATATAATCTACATTAATCTCAGATTCTGCCATATCTTAAATCATAATAATTGATCTTAAATATTTATAAAAATAGTTGTCAATTTTCTCTGTTTACTTTCTCTTCATGTATTACTTTTAAGTCATCTTTAATAATTTTAAAAATAAATTTTTACAAGTTGTGCTTTCCAGTTTTTGGACATTAAATATGAGGTTTGAAAAAAATATAATGTTGTCAACACCAGACTATCTATGTTTGTCTGTTATAAATTTAAAATAACATAAGAGGTTAGTTTCAAATTGCTTCTGGCATTCAAATATATTAAAGAAAAGATTTTAACATATTAATTTATATTGTATGTGAAACTGTTATTAAAATTTAAGCAAATGAGTACAAGCAGCAAAATAAAGACAACAATTAGCATTGAGAACTGGTTCCACCAATAGTCTTTCTCTCGGTTGTCAAGAAAGAGAGAGACAGTTGGCAGAACCAATTGTCAGTGCCAATTGTAGTCTTAATTTTTGCTGTCCGTGTGTATTGACAACAACTCACGTCATAAAAGAATAACGAAATTGGTTGATCGGTATTTGGATAATCGATGCTCTACTTCCTGTAACCATGTTAATGTTGTTGTTTGAACAGAGAGCATATTAAACTGGATGGATTAAATATATTGATTAAAAATTGGTATCTAACATTTTGCTACATCTAGAAGAATTTTTCTAGTCTTTCTTTGTATTCTATAATTTGCTTTCCCACAACTTGAGTGCAATTTGGCTCATTGATCTAAAGTATGGAAGTTCATTCTTAAAAAAGAAGCCAAAGATATTAATTGATTTATTTACCCAATTTGATAAATAAATATCAATTATTTATGACATTGTCACAATGCCAGGTTATAATTTTTAATCGTATTCAATTTATAATGTATGTTCTCTATCTCAAATTTGTAGTGTCTTGCTCTTGTACATCATACTTTTCCTGATAATAACAGTCATGTCATTCATCTATGTAATTCCATTCGGGGGAAATTTTTGAATTCACGTGACTTCCGTTCTAAACCAGAAGTTCGTATATAGTTAGTCAGGGCTTCCTGCTCCTAAGATTTCCATATCGGATCTCGACTTTCACGTATCTAACACTGTTCTTGATATTAAGGAAGAACAGACAGACAAATGACAGTAAGAATTTATAGGTCTACAATTTTTTCAAATTGCAGCCTAATTACTCTTGAATTATAAGTCTTTGTTACAAATGAAGTATTTCCAAGAAAGAATTAGATAAACTATTAATATCAGTAGTCATTAATTTATTATATAGAAATTTGTATAAGTGTTTTAAGTATTTAGCTTTTTAAATGGCAAATAATTAATAGATATTTTTTTATAAATATATTTCTACCTAAAACTTTTTTTATTTTTATTCTGTAATTTTCATGTTTGTAAATAACAAATTTTCTCAGATTTTTTGGAGTTTTAATTTTATTTTTGTTCAAATTCTCCATATTATTTTGATCTAGAGTTAGGCATGTGCCATCTCTTATCCAATTTAAAATTACTTAGAATTTAAAAACCAAACCTGTCTTTGTGCATATAGAATCAGAGCATGTTTTCTGTCATAATCGTACCAAGATAATCTAAAAAAATGGGATCGAAACAAAATATTTTGTGCCTAATCAAGAACTGCAAGTCAGTTTTAAAAATTATAATATATTCTTGCAAAATCTCTTCTGTGTAGTTTTGTAAGCCTAGAATTATACTTAAAACAAATGAATATACGCATTGATTGGTATTGTAATTATATAGCAGAACTCAAGAAAATATGATCACTAGTGAAGAATATGAACAGGATGATTTTAGTTTAAAGAAACATACTAGTGACATAAATTGAATAATACAGTCGAGGACTTTTTGGAAAACTAATGGATTGAAAATAATTTTGAATATAATTATATACATCTAAATTTATTTAAATCTAATTATTAATATAAATTTATATAATCTAATAAAATGCACAAATACAGACATTTTTACTAATTCTATGTAAATATACTAGTGATGTAACGAATATTCGGTTACTATTCAGCTGAATACCAAATATTTAATCACTATTCTGCCGAATACCTAAAAACAGGAGTAAGAAATAACAAAAACACAGTAAATTAATCATTTTAGTATTTAGATTTAATGTTATTGGGTTAGTGTTGTTTGCTTATATTTATTTATAACTTATAACATGCACAAAATAAAAAAGAAAATAATATTAATCACATGTATTCACAATTTATAATTACAAAGATCAGTACACGTACACACCTATTCGTTTGAGAATCGTCACACATCTGAGGGTCTGACCATGTCTATCCTTCTGTTTAAGTGCTCGTCTTTGCTCTTCCCTTTCTCTTTCCTCTATCACTCTAGTCCACATATGCCTATGCATACATCATAATATGTGCTCACGATACTTTCAATTCGTCACTTTTCCGTTGTAGATTTCCCATTTTACAATTATGTGACTAATAGCCTGGTGATAACAGAGAAAAGAGACAGATAGGGCATCGGTATAAGTCACAGTTATGATTTCACAGATTCGAGACAGCTTGGTAGCCCGAACAGCCCCAGGCTTTCACCCGTGCATGCTAAGTGACTTTCATTACAAGCATTTAGCTTTCCGAAGTCTATGACAACAATTGTTTGGCATTGACAGCCGCAAATTTCGCGCCAATAAGCTGCCTCGACTTGTTCGATTATGTTATCAACTCAATTTCATATTTATTTTCACATTGCGGTCCTTCTCTGTTCTTTTTCCGTTATTTACACATGTAGATCATTTCATTGTTATCCACATTTGATATCATCATTTATCACATACTGCCATGACGTTCTTGTCTGTCCACTACAACTGTCAAGAATTAACATGATTGGCGAAGCTTAGTGATAGCAGGCCAATAGAGAGCAGGGTCCTTGCCATAATGTGGTTTGCGAGCCAATTTTCGTATGTGCGTTAATCAAGCCGAATAGTTTGGCCGAATATACTATTCGTTGCAACACTAAAATATACATAATATATTTTTAGTGCATAATATATTTTATTTTTATATGCCTAATTTATTTTGCCAAGCAAACTGCCAGCTTATTGATGGGTTATAATGAGGCTAATTTAGCCAAATGGCTTTATATCTAATCATCAAGTTAGCCTTGTTACAGCCCAATTAATAATTGGCAGTTTGTTTGGCATTAGTGATTGAAGCAGAGTGATATATTTTTTAAAACAATTTTTATTTAATTATTTTAAATAGCTGTAACGAGTTTGAACACAAACTGAAGAATAAAAAAATTTTTTTCAGTTCGAGACGGAGATACGGTAAAACACTATCGCATCAGACAGTTGGACGAGGGCGGGTTTTTTATAGCGCGAAGAACCACCTTTCGAACGTTGCAAGAGCTAGTCGAACACTACAGTAAAGACGCCGATGGCCTGTGTGTCAATCTGTGCAAATCGTGTATTCAGGTAAATAATTATTTGTTTTTTAGTTGTATTATTTATGATGTTTATATGATTCAGATAGCTCCACGTAACATTTTGCATTATCCATCTATCATTTTAAATTCTTTTTAGGAAATAGTCCTTCAGTCAAGATATTTATTATGCAAAGATTTCATTTGCAATCTTCTCTGTATCACATCAGTTTTGATCTATATATATTATAAAATTGTGGAATTCAAAAAATTTGTGCGCACAAAATCACAAAATATATTTACAGGTGACCCTCGGTTTACGCCGCAGTTCCGTTCCTACAAAAGCTGTCGTAAAATGAACCCATATTTACAGTGNTTAATTAAATATAAATTAATTTCAATAATTTAAAATAAGTCTCATAATTTAGCTACTAAAACAGTTGATTTTATTAACTTTTTACTCCAGACTATTTTTAGTGGAAGTTTTATTTCAGAAACTAACAAAATTATAATTGCTAACTAAAAAAATATATAATAAATTCAACACTAATAGAATATTGTAGATTTTGTGTTGGAGATTACCCAGCATTTGTGCTGTTATGAGGGCAAGGGATTTTGTTTTTACACTTTGCATGTTTGAAAATCTATAGTGATGGCAGTTTCAGCTTCTTCAGTGGGTCTAGCAGCTTTCACACAATACAAAATTTCAGGGAATAGATACGTCATAAGCAAGATGAACTTCTTAGTATCTCTTCATAAAATTTGTACAGACTGGAGTATACATAAACCAGGGCTGTGGAATCAGTCGTCAAAAATCTGCCAACTTTGACTCCTTTTTACTTTCCCAGCACGTTATTTATATAAAACAGAAAAGGACTAAAATCGTGTCAAATTTGACCATCTAAGTTTTTTGAAAATTACATGTTTGAAGACCTGAACCCAAAAAATGTCAAATAAAGAGGGGAGATTGATACGTGTGTTGTATCTAACTTGTTTAATTTCTTTATTCTCTGTTTTGAGATATTAAACAATATCTCAGAATGGGTAAATTAATTAAATGAAATTTGACAAGGTAGCTTGTGTTTAAAGAGGCATTAATGTTAAATTTTGATTCTTAATTAAAGGTTGACAGAGTGGAGACATAGAAGGGGTCACATGTCATAGCTCCAGTGTGGTCAGACTTAATGAATATTTTACTCATTATTAGTACTCACAACATTTTATAAAAATCCTATCCTCAAAATTAAGCTTTTTGTCATTTTATAATAGTACAGTAAAACCCAGTTAAGATGTTCTCACCTGAGATGTCTGAACTAAATCATACCCCCACACACATTCTGACAGTTTGAGGCTTAACAATTCCTGTGTTAACCCATCTGACTCCGATTCAAAAAGGTGAACAAAATCATGTCCCTCCTCCACAGTCTAACATACATACATACATACATGGGGAAAAAACCCAAATCTTTTGCATATCTTGACATTTTAAGGTGTCTTCAGTCCCAAAAATGTAAACATTTGGGGAGGATCATTTTTGACTGATTTCTACACTTTCCCTGTGATATATATAACAGCCAGGAAAGTAAACATTATTGAATATATATTGATATATTGACTATGTCATTAATTAGGAGAGTCTTTTAGCTTAGAATGTAGAAACTTTTTTATTCGAATCTCATTTAGAACTCTCTATTTAAGCTTTTACTCTGAAGTCACACGACAACATCAGAATTCTCATGCCTATTTTGGTAACAAGTCCATCCCTGGTCAGAGTTTTTTACACGACTCCACAGCCTTGACATAAACTAAACAAAATACACCCAGGGACCATAAAATAAACTCCATTTTTACTGACGGAAAATAAGGAAAAATGCTTTCAATCTACATTGGATCTTCCTTAGGCCCTATATTTCTGAATTGGAAGAAACATAGAATATTCCAGTTGTTTAAAACAAAGTTCTATATTTTGAATGCATTTTAAAATTTAAAATATTAATTAAATTAATAGATGGAATATATAAAATATGGCTGGCCTGTAATTAGACTGAAAACATTTGTCTATTTGTTAAAATTTCTGCTGGAAATGAAGGAAAGTTTATTTTTTATTGTTTGAACTGTTTCCAGTTTTTGGTTGTATGTTTTTCTTTTGCATATTTATTTTAATTATTTTTAAAAAATTCAATGCATAGAAAAGGAATAACACTAACAGTGAAACTATGTTACTATTAATATTAATGAGGAATATGAAATATATAGATGGAAATTGATTAAAAATTGTCTGAATGCCAGAGACTAATTCCTTTATCTTGGAAATTTGCCTTCAGGGAGACACAATAAGGATTTCTGGTTTGTTTGTTTGTTTATTTTAATGGAATTTGTAACTTATGTAAACACAAAGAAAATTACCATAAGCAAATAAGAATATAAAGTATATATCTTTCATGTCAGTCACAAACATCAGTCATAATCAAAAAGATGATTATAATGCATTTGATCTTTAAATTATTCTTTTACTCTTTAATGCAAACTGAAGATGCTTTGAAGACCTTAATTTTGAATATAAATGTTTCATCATTAAGGTGTTATTATTGTTATCAGTGAATGTTTATTTTTATTAAATTGAAAATCCAGTTTAAAGTCACGAGTCAAATTTGTTCAATGTTTAGTTTAAGTAGTTTAAGACATTGATCATTTTTATTATAATTTACAGATTTAAAAAAAAGTCATTTAAAATGGCAGTTTCCGATAAGTGTATTATTTTGATGTTACAAAATTCTTAAAAGCAGCCTATATAAGTGATTATATATTATTAGTTGTATCTATGTAATGATATTTTTGTTCATTAGAGTCAGGATTTATAGAATTTAAATCTCATATTATTAGATTTTTAATAATTCGGGATTGCCGATACATTTTCAAATAGAAATTAAATTTTGATAATGTGTCTATCAACTTTGCTCTACTTTTATAGTGCAGTTGTATACATTTCATTACTTCACTTGTTTGTATTTTATAAGTTGATAAAAATTTCATTTCGTTTTCCTTGCATTATTAACTTCCAAAAATACACGTCAATTTTAGTCTAGACGACTGGTTCTCGTATTTTCGAGAAAACGAGAGGTCGTTAGAGGGAGGAATTTGCTTTCCGAATGTTAAATTTAGCCGAAATATTTAAATTTTATTAAATGCAATTACTGTAATTGTTTCCTTTGCTTGGCTCTTATAATTTATTTATAAATCTTATCAAAATAATTTTACACAATATAGAATGTTGAACTTTTAATTTCTTGTATGATCAGAAATATGAACTAAATTATATGTATTACAGTCTTAAGATTAATTACCAAATTTACTTAATTCTTGATTAGAAATACCAGACAAGTTACATTAAAAATTCAGAAATTATTAACGTAGACTACTCGCTATTATTTTATAGAAATTTATTCAATTATTCCTGGTGTAAGGATCCCAATAAATTATGGTAATGTCCAGATCTTTGACATCATACAAATTTATATGTTAATCATATGAAATCATATTTTATTATTTTGATATTTCTGAGGCAAGATAAATGATTCAAATTATTTAATTTTCTTAGTATTTCTCTTAAACATCATATAATTACAACTTTGGATAAACTTAATCGATTGCATAATGAAATAGTAAGTAATTTCTTTCTTTTATATTTATAAAAAAAATTGTTTTGATTAAAAAGTAAATTTTTCACTTTAAAAAAAAATTAAATTAAAAATTATTTGAACAGGAACATTAAAAACTTAAATACGAAATCAAGCAAAGATTGATTGAATTTCATTTAATATGTTGCAAATTACAAATATGAAAAGAAACAATGTTTTTCTTGGTTAATAAATCATAAATTTAAGCATATTCAATCTAGAGAGACTAAGTCCGACAGAAACAATGCACTTATTAATGTTTATTTTTGTCTATATAAATTCCCTGGGGAAAGAGGAGAGTCATTGACCTTGAGATATGCTAGACTGCTTATTAAGTTGCAGTCCGGTGGCAAAAGACATTTCCCGATAAATGAAGATTCTTTTTTCGTAGTTAAAATAACCTACATTTTACTTTTTAAAAAATCGGTCAAAACATATTTCTGATGATGTGATTTTCCTCTAATGCATCATATATTTAATTGGTAACTGATTTTAATAAGTTTTCTCTAGTGGAAAGATTTAATGTGTGTCAATAGATATTTAATGGGAAAAAAATAAAAAGTAGCGTGTAGATAAAGGGGGAAATTTATAAAATATGTAATACTTGAGAATTTTCCTAGATGTTATATTTGATGAATAACAAAACAAAAAATACTGTACATTTAGTTAGTTACATCCATTAATATTTAATGAAATTACTGCATTTCAAGTTACTTAGCTAAAAATATTACTTAAGATCAGAGTTAATGTCTATAATAATTCAAAATTTGAATTTCTTGAATATTTTAATGCAGATTCTAAATATAATCTACATTAATCTCAGATTCTGCCATATCTTAAATCATAATAATTGATCTTAAATATTTATAAAAATAGTTGTCAATTTTCTCTGTTTACTTTCTCTTCATGTATTACTTTTAAGTCATCTTTAATAATTTTAAAAATAAATTTTTACAAGTTGTGCTTTCCAGTTTTTGGACATTAAATATGAGGTTTGAAAAAAATATAATGTTGTCAACACCAGACTATCTATGTTTGTCTGTTATAAATTTAAAATAACATAAGAGGTTAGTTTCAAATTGCTTCTGGCATTCAAATATATTAAAGAAAAGATTTTAACATATTAATTTATATTGTATGTGAAACTGTTATTAAAATTTAAGCAAATGAGTACAAGCAGCAAAATAAAGACAACAATTAGCATTGAGAACTGGTTCCACCAATAGTCTTTCTCTCGGTTGTCAAGAAAGAGAGAGACAGTTGGCAGAACCAATTGTCAGTGCCAATTGTAGTCTTAATTTTTGCTGTCCGTGTGTATTGACAACAACTCACGTCATAAAAGAATAACGAAATTGGTTGATCGGTATTTGGATAA